GATGGAGCCTCTAGGGCCAAAGATGGAGTCCCTAGGTTTGGGGGCGGAGCCTCTGGGTTTGGGGGCGGGGCCTCTGAGTTCGGGGATGGAGCCTCTAGGGCCAAAGATGGAGTCCCTAGGTTTGGGGGCGGGGCCTCTGGGTTTGGGGGCGGGGCCTCTGAGTTGGGGGCGGCCCCCGACGGAGGCTGGGGCTGGGTGGTGCTGGCCGCTAACATCCTGGTCCTGGCGCTGACCCTGGCCTTCCCCTCCTGCGTGGGCATCTTCTACACCGACCTGCAGAACGAGTTCCAGGCCTCCAACAGCCAGACGTCCTGGGTCCCGTCCATCATGACCTCCATGCTCCACGCCGGAGGTAAGGCCCAGTAATTGAATTGAATTTATTTTATTTTTTTTTTTTTTTTTTTTTTTTTTTTTTTTTTTTTTTTTTTTTTTTTTTTTTATTTTAATTTAATTTAATTTAATTTAATTTAATTTAATTTAATTTAATTTCATTTTATTTCATTTTATTTATTGATCTCCAGCTTCTGCTGGTTTTTAAGTCCACTTTGCCCCTTTAGACAAGAACGTCTGGCAGCAGGAAGCCAAGGATGGATATCCAACTAACCCACATCCAAGTCGGCCATTTTGATTAGGTCACCAATAGGAAGATCCCAGGCAAGAAAGTCGTAATTGCTTCATGGCAATATAGACATTAATTTAAAATAAAAATAGTGAAATTAATCCTGCAAACACTGAATTAAACTCTATCCATAATATTATGTTAAAATAGTGGATGTTAAATAGGTTTGTACAATAAATCCAAACAAGTTTAACCAAAAAATATTTATTTCACACAATTATGAAGGGTTAGGGTTAGGTTCAGGGTCAGGGTTAAGGTTAGGGTCAGGGTTAGGGTCAGGGTTAGGTTTAGGGTTAGGGTTAGGGTTAGGGTCAGGGTTAGGACATCGTTTGTCTTCTGATTTCTTATAGACAGTAAAGTTTTGTCTCCACCTCAGAAAGCTGCTAGTCACATAAACCTAATCAAAATGGCCGACTTGGATGTGGGAGGAGTCGGATATCCAGCCGAGGCTCCTACAGGCTGCAGCCAGAGGCTTTTCCCCTTAAATGAGACCAAACCAGCCCCTGAATCCACCTTTTGCTCCTTATATTCTGAAACCGGCACCGTTTACTTTGCTCCCCGTGTTTCTCCCCCGGACGGTTTTTATTTATTTTATTTTATTTGTGTCCGCTGTTATTTTGCTGGGAGGCCGAGAAAGCTGATAGGGATTTCTGCAGGGTGTTTTCACCCGTCTCGCTGTGTTTGTGTTGCTTTAGAGGAGATTCATTCTTGAGAAACCGCGGCCCTTTTATTTCCCACGGAGGTATGGAGATCCTCACCACAGAGAGGCTTTATTTACCCCGAAAAAGGCTTAAAATCACACCTTTATTCACACCTTAGTTAATAATGAAGCCTCAGGTTTTCTTTTACAGCCACAATATCAAAAAACTTCTTTTTCTTCTTCTTGGATCATGCGTTTTATAGTAGCAGACGTCTTTAAGCTGTTTCTGAGTCTGGAAAACAGCAGAAGACCTTCAGATAAATCACCATAAATATCTTCCTGTTGTCCCAGGTAAATGTCACTCAGGGACCAGCTAAAAACATTGATTATTCAATAATTAATAGGATAAACAATCATAATTAATTGATAAAAATAGATCATAAATAAAAGATAGATGGATAATAAATAAAAAACAAAACGACTAAACAAATAAACGAATAAATGAATAAATAAACAAATAAATGAATAAATAAATGAATAAATAAGTGAATAAATAAATGAATAAATAAATGAATAAATAAATAAATAAATAAATAAATAAATAAATAAATAAATAAATAAATAAGAAAGACAAAAGGTTTGACATGATAAAAAAAGAAAATGGTATTAATAATAAGAAAATTCTGAAAGAAAATAATAATGAGAAAAACATTTATACATAAAAAGAGTAATAGTAAAGCTGGACATTTACTAGCTCTAAGTATCAACTTCCCTTTTTTGTGTGACACTTTGATAAACGTTTTATTACGGATTGTGAAATTTTACAGGTGGGAAAGGTAATTAAAGTCAATAAAGAGAAGAAAGGTAAATATTTCTTTATGGTTAGTTCATGTTTGTGAGGCAGGATGCAGATTTATGGGGATCAGGTTTAACTGCTGCTTTTCATCACTGAGGCCAATTCATTTGTACGTTTTTGTAGAAAAACTACCCAAAAATGCAGCCGAGCACCTGATAGCTGAGGTTTTAGTGCTCAGGAGCCGTCCTAATTGAGTGAAATGACGCAGAAGTATCTAAACACAGCAAAGATAAGAGCTGTTTGAATTCTTCAAACACTAAGGAAAGGAGCTTTATTATCCTCCTCAGGAAAGGATCCTTTAAGAGAGAAATCAGCTTCCTTTGGTCCATCCAAACCTTGAAAAAAATGGGATATTATTTATTATCTCAAATTGAATGGATAACATTCATAAAAGATTGTGTTTTGTTAAGTATCTGAAGCACTTTCTGCTGAACATTTCTTAAAATTAAAATTAAAGTTAAATGAAGGAAACTGAATGTAAAAACAGGGACTTTCAGCCTCTTCTGGCTCTTATAATTTAATCTTTTACTCTCTGAGCTCTGGGTGGTCATGTGACTGCCCAACGCCGTGTGATTGGTTGAACTCAGTTAGACCAAATCAAGCAGATAATTTCAGATAAAAGTCAGGTTTATTCTTCATGAAAATACTGTAAATTAAAAAGTAAGTTGGGTTCAAAATGCTCTTACAGGCAGAGTTGATCTAAAAGGTTTCGTGTTTCTACATTTAGCCTAAATTTCTCTCCCTTTAACTTCCTCTTTTAGTCCATTTCCTGAAATAATCTGAATGCCTGTTGTTGGTTGTGGGTCTCTGTTTCCTCTCAGGTATGAAAATACTGAAACAAATCAGTAGTTTGTAGCTAAAGTTGACCTCCTCCTCCCTGTGGTTCTCCCTCTCTGTGATGTGGAATAATCTGGAGCCCGCCGGTTTCTGAAAATAAATGCAGAGCCCTGTTTTATTCAGCTTCTGGTAACGTGATAGTGCAACACCTGGTTCCTCACTGGAGGGTCTCGATGACAAAAGCTCTGCTAACGACACCCCGAGGCCTCTGAAATGAATCCCGATTATGATTTAGTGCATTGGAAAGCAGAACCAGAGCATAACAATGACATTAAAAGCCTATTTTTGTCCACACGGACATGGATTTTATGTCCTAACGTGACGTGAAGAGCAATAAAGTCAGATAACATCTAGCTTTTCTAAGGAAAAACAATTAAATGCTTCCAAACTGTTAGACTTGGTTCTTTAGTTGGAAGCCTGAGAATAAACCAGAGCAGATCAAGAGTACAAATATGATTTTTATTGGTCACAAACAAAGTAAATTAGCTGGGCTCTTCACAGACAAAAGCTCCCGGAGGATCTCAGTTAGCAAAAAGACCCGATTTCCGGGTGTGATGGGCAGTTTTCCTCTGGGCCTCCAACAGGAGGACGAGTGTTATTGGCTAGTTAGCTCTGACATGAACAGGCCAGGTCCTAATTCATGCAGGTTTCAGTGGAATGTGATAAGAAAGTGTGAATATTTACCTTGAATACAAGTATCTACTGTAACAAATAGAGGAGGAGGAGTAGGAATAGCAAGAGAGTTTAACACAAAAGTATCATTCTAAAGGGAATAATATGAATCTAAAAAGGAATCAGTCGTTTACATGGATTAAGTTGTAGCATGCTATGCTAAAGTGAGTAATTATAGCCCAATTCTAACAAAACTTTAACCCTGCTTCTGTCCGACCAAAGCAGAGTCACTGACTGGGACGCTTTGGAGCCCTCATGGATATTAGGCACAAAAATGCTTTGATCTTTCCCATAATCCTGAGCAGAGAAAAATGTGGTGAGAACCGAACATGTAGGAACCGCCTCCTTTTCCAGGTCAACCAGCCCAAGAGGCCATTTATTGGGCTTAACCCTGTAATGCCAAATGTATCATATTTGATACATACGGTTTCTGAAATGTTTTGCGTCTGACACCTTTTGCATAATTTAATGGTAAAAACTTTGCTCAAAATCCTATTGTACACAATCAGATACACCTGATAACAGGGGGCAGAAGACTACACAAAAAATAATCTTGACTTATCGCATAGTAATGAATATGCATAAATGCATTTGTGAATAAATTATTTTGTAATTTAAAACCATTTCTAGATGTTGTTTTTGCCGTTTTATAGAAGGATACAACTTTTAAGATGTTTGAGGTGTCACTAAAGCCAAAAAAATGGCATCAAAGACACTTTTCTGCTTGAACTGTATCTTTTCACAAAAAGCTTGTTTTCTCCATTTATTGGTCAAAAACTGGTGTTTTTGTTGAAACCAACCTATGTTCTACTGCTGATTACTAAAGAACGGGATAAGGTACAAAGATTTTTTTTTTCCTGATGAAAGAAGAGAGTCTACTCTTTCTTTTGGTGTGTTCGGTGTTTACATAGTCATAGCACAAACTATTCTGTGGCTCTGGAAAAATCAGTCAAAATGCTCAAAAAACTCTGGCAGTATGGGACTCTCTGATCTGAAAATGGCTGCCAGTCAATGAGTTAATATTGAAATGTTTTTTTTGTTTTTTGTTTTTACATATTTTGTTAAAAGGCCAAATAAGGAATTCAAACCAAAAAAAATTTTTTTTTCTGTTTTGTTTTATTCTTGGATCAGGCTTTAAAGGGATATATCTGTACCGTTGCGTGACCTTAATCGGTTAATTATCTGTTATGGCTGTAAAGTCTTGGTGCTTCTTTTGTTTGGCCGTATGGGTCGAGGTGTAATTATTAGCCCCCCCCGCCCCGTTGCCCCACAACTCACCCGGCCAGTGTTAAATTTAACACCCGCTCGGTGACATTTAGGCCACCGTTATTTACGGGTCCGGACCACCACCGACCATAAACGTGTACAGTACGATTTCTCAGCTCTGGGAATTTACTCGCTTACATAATAGAATCCCAAACAATGTGTGTTTTACACTCGAACAAACAGGCGAATAAAGGAGGCCCCGCCTGTGTGTGTGTGTGTGTGTGTGT